AAAGACGATCACTGACTGTATATAAAGACGATCACTGACTGTATATAAAGACCATCACTGACTGTATATAAAGACGATCACTGACTGTATATAAAAGAACCACTAGTGGGCGACCTGCGTGATTCCAGTGAATACACAAAGTCAAAGTCACATGATGACAGCATTCTCTAAGATGAGTCTTTATTGAGTTGCCATGACAACGTGTGAAAACAAACCTTTGATGTTTCACACTGAATCTTTCAGTAAAGGTTTCATGTTTACCTCAGTTAATCCATAAAGTTTTCAGCAGTGATAAGAAGGTCTGGTTCTTATTGGTTAATAAACAGTGATAAACTGGTTTTGACTGGACGATCAAGAAGACTGATAAATGTTGTTCATCTTTGTCTCCTCCTCCTCTCCATCGTCATGGCGCTCTGAGGATCCGAACAGGAAGTGATGTCAGGTTCACAGGTAAACTGTGTCTTAGAAACAGCTGATGTTGTCGTGTGTTCATTACCTCTCTGTCCGCTCTCTTCTTCTTCTTCTCTCTTCACCATCTCTCCCGTCACCTCCTCCTCCTCTTGTTCTTCTTCTTCTTTGAACTCGTCAACGTTCCTGTACGCCCCCACCTGAAGAGACACCTGCCTGTCAGTCAGAACTGAGGGAACATTTCCCCCTTCTCTCTAACTGCTCCTCACCTGGTGGCTGTGATGTGGCGACATGTCATTGGTGGAGGGGAGGAGCCTGTTGATGAGCTGACCGATGGTTTTGAAGGTTGGTCTGTGGGCGGGCTCCAGACTCCAGCAGAGCATCATCAACTGATACCTGCGAGGACAGGTGAGTCAGATTTCAAAATCACTTTATTAACATTCAATCATGTGTCATCTTACATCTCAGCTGGAGCGAAGTCTGGCTGAGACATGTGGCGGCCATCTTTGATCATCTTGTAGAAGTTGGTATCCACGGCAACATTTGGATACGGACTCCTGCCTGAGGGTGGGATAATATGATGATGTCAATCTGATGTTACAGGTCTGATGCAGGCTTCCCAATAGCAACAGTGGACACTGCTGTCTTCAGAGATATTCAACCAACTGAGCGACCGATTAATAATCAATATGATCAGCATGAGATCAAAAATTACCCAGAGAGAAGATCTCCCACAGCAAGACGCCATACGACCACACGTCACTCTGCAGCGTGTAAACGCACTGAAAGATGCTCTCCGGGGCCATCCACTTCACCGGGAGACGAGCCTGTCACAATATAACACAGGAACTTTCACAATAAAACACAGGAACTTCCACAATAATACAAAATGATTTCTCACAATAAAACACAGGATGTGTCACAATAAAACACAGGATGTTTCAGAATAAAACACAGGCTGTGTCACAATAAAACACAGGAAGTTTCAAAATAAAACACAGGATGTGTCACAATAAAAAACAGGGCGTTTCACAATAAAACACACAATTTTCAGATGACAGTGTTGTCAGCTGGGGCCTGTACTACGAAACAAGTTCAACATTTTAACTATAAATATACTTAAACTGATTTTCAAATCTTTACAATTACAATACAACACTGTGAGTCTATCTCAACTGTATAATGACATCAGTACACACACGTACAATGAGGTTTGAAAACAAGTCAGATACTTAAAGAAAATCAGTAGAAACCCATAAAGAACTATAGAAACTAAAGTTAAGACTTGTGTATAATGTAAAATGTAAAATGTAGATTGTGTTGAGCTCATCATCAGCCACAGTGAACAGGTAACACGTGAAGTACATGTAGAYAGTCTGTGGTACTGTGAGTACTTTGCTCCTACGGGTCAGGTTGGTTCTGTTGAAGCTCCAGCAGCTGACAAAGGTTCATCCTCTGAGGAGAATCTAGATCTTTCAGAAACTCCTCACAGGATCTCAACGGATCTTGTGGGTCTCTGAAGACCCTGGTCCTCCTCAGAGACTGGAACGATCCACASCAGCTCCACGATAAGAACATGATGTCATGGTTCAAAGGAAGGGAGTGGTCAGTGGGCGGAGCTTTACACTGTTTGATCTCTTATCTTCAAACCAACCTGGAGCAGGTCAGCTGATCAGCATAAGTTACCATGGTGATTTACCCGATAACAAGGGAACAAGCTTCGTAGGACTGAAAACTCTGAATTAAACCTGAAGTTAACCTCAATTAAACCTGAATTAAACCTGAAGTTAACCTGAATTAAACATGAAGTTAACCTGAATTAAACCTGAAGTTAACCTGAATTAAACCTGAATTAAACATGAAGTTAACCTGAATTAAACCTGAATTAAACATGAAGTTAACCTGAATTAAACCTAAAGTTGGTTATAACCACAAATTCATAGTTCAGGGCCCTGCACCTGTTGCTGTTGTTTGCTGTTGTTTACTCTGACAATGTGTACTGACGTTTCCCTGGACGATGTAGCTGTCGTCATGGTGAATGTCTCGAGCCAAACCAAAGTCACAGATCTTTGCAACACGACGATGAGTCAACAAGACGTTCCTCGCCGCTACGTCTCTATGGATACACTGAGTGATCGACAGGTGAGAGAGAGACAGGTGAGAGAGAGACAGGTAAGAGAGAGTCAGTTAAGGCTCTTCTGCTGATATCTGATTGTAACAATCAGTGTGTGTGTGTGTGTGTGTGTGTGTGTGTGTGTGTGTGTGTGTGTGTGTGTGTGCCTACATTTCTGTCAGACAGGAAGTCGAGACCCTGAGCCACCTGGAGGGAAAAGGCCATGAGGTCACCGACAGACAGGCCGTCTGTGTGCACACCTGAGGGAAAGACAGAGGGTGAGACAGGTCTGACATCACAGAGACAGACAGGTGAGGTCAGGGGGATATTCTATCAAAGTGATGTCTGGTTTATTTAAGTGAGAGGGCTGATCCGTGGCTTTAATGACTTCCTGCTCAGTCACTATGGTAACTTATACTTCAGAGCTAGCCTGGGGGGTATTCCATCAAAGTAGTTAAACTAATCCTGACTTTAAGTGAAAAGTAGCTTGAATTAGATTCTACTTCCACTTCAGGCTCAAGCCATTCCACCAACACAAATAATTCAGGTCACGACGACCAGTCGTCTCCTGCAGTAAAAAGTTAAATTCAAAGACATGTGTAACCTGAGTTATTTGGCATGAACTCTTTCTTCCTGTATTTCTGTATCTGCAGATAAAGTCATACTGGCTCCATCTTCCTACAAACACAACTCTGAAGTTGGTAAAGATGAAGATAATGAATCAGTTGTTTTAACCCCACTTCACGTCTCTGACCACTTCTTTATCTCTTACTCTCTACCACTCTCATAATCTGACAACCCTATCTCATTAACAGACTGTTCCTGTCCGTCGTAACCACTACTCCCTCTCTCCCTCCTCTCTGGCCTCATCTGACTCTTTCTACCTCATGCATCCTGACTCTGCCACAGACATTCTCCTCTCTACTCTGTCCTCCTCTCTTGATTCTCTCTCTCCTCTTATTTCACAAGAGGTGCGCAGGTCCTCCCCAGCTCCATGGTTGTCTGAGTCGGTGCGCACACCAGTGGCCTCCTGCCAGCCTGTCATGAAGTGCTTCGAGCGACACATCAAAACTCACATTAGCTCCTCCCTTCCCGACACATTGGACCCTCTTCGGTTTCCACAGACCATCGCCCTGGCGACCCACCCAGTGCTCAGCCTGGACCAAGGGACTACATATGTGAGGATGCTCACTGATTACAGCTCAGCATTCAACAACATTATTTCCTTATAACTCGTCTGGAAGCTCGTTGATCTTGGTCTGGACACCTGCAGCTGGACATATGACTTTGTCGTATATTGGGGTTGCGATGATGTGAAGATGATGAAGGAATCTCCGATGACACCGTCTTGATTGTATAAAATGTTTATTACAAAAAAGTTCAGCATCAATACAAGCAATGCAATCTGCATATGGAGAGATCCGAAGCCAATGTGAATCTCTCCTGCCTGGAGAGAGATTCGGAGCCAATGTGAATCTCTTCTGAGGAGGCAACTTCAACTCCTCGTTTATATAGGAGTGTTGTTTTCGTTATTTTAAAGTAAACACATCTGGTTTCTATCCAGCTCTTCTCGGTTATCCAGTGACAGGAAGAGAGGCGACACTAGCTCAAATTTAGTGTAGCACTTAGAACTGTGACCTAATGCCCTACCATACGTTCAGGCTTTCTCCTAATTCCTCAAGACCTGTGGACCTCAAACCTAAAGATACATTTCTTTTATGGGGAGGACTACACATAGCATTTCAGACACCACAACTTCCTGACAGGCAGGCCCCAGGTGTTGAAGCCACACCTTCTCCCAACTTATTTTTATATTATTTAACTATTGCACTGCTGAGCTGAGCGGTTTTACAAAACCTTTCATTGTACTGTTGACCATGTGTTAACTGCATCTGACAAATAAAACTTGAACTTGAAACTTTCTTGGTAAATATGCATCTGAATTCTTCATAGAGCTCAATGATCATCTGTTGATCTGCTGCAGAAAAACACACCACACAGCTTTTTGTGTCTTTCAGGGCCATAGTGTCCTCTTTTCTACAGACGATTATTCAGGGCTTATAAAAGCCAGGATAGAATCAGCCTTGATTAGACCCAAATAAACTGTGTTGAATTTTCAAGTGGAAGTTGAGCTAATTTAAGCTGAACCTTTTCACTTGAGCCAGGAATAGTTTAGCTACTGTGATGGAATACTTCCCACATGAGTTAAGGTGTGTTCAGGGCCCTGTACTATGGCGAAGGATTTGTGGTCCCTTCTTATTGTGATAAATTACCATGGTAACTTATGCTGAACTTATACAGGCGTCTGGTGTGTGTTCAGGTGTGTTCAGATGTGTTACCTTTGTGGGTTTGAACGGGCATCATCTCCTGATACTCTGAACAACATGAGATTCCACTGTCACTGAAACACACATGATTGGATGTCAGACATCAGCTGATGTCACTCAGTGATTCCACAGGTCAAAGGTCAGGACTGTTTGAACTCATGCTGAGTTCCAGACAACTCAGATGTTGGAATTTTCTGACCTCCTACTTGAAAAGTGCAGTGGATGCCTCACAGTCAGAGACATAGATCCTGTAGCTGAGGCCGTCAACCTTCTGTTGGACTCTGGTGTTTTCCTTTGTGACAGTGTTCTCTCCCTCTTAATGCATTGAATGTGTTTCCAAGTATAAAGTCAAATATAATGGTATTAATAATAATAATAATAGTAATATAAAGGCGTCATCTCCCTCCTCTTTGTTTCTGTATGAACGGAGGCTTCTCTGGTTACAGTTGAATCATCTCATCACGAGACAAATACACATTATTATGGTCAGACATGTTTGTTTACGTAATGTCATCACTGTGCACCACTTGGAAGTCAGAACTCAGAAACTTCAATATCCACCATCTGAGCTGTCTGGAACGCAGCATCAGAATGCCTTTATTTGTCATTGAAAGCTATGCACACAACGAAAATGAAATAAATTAACTATATCAAATATCTTTAAGATAAATGATTTCTGTCATATTTCAATCAGTGGGTTGAGAGAGAAGAGCTCAAACCTCCTGACTCGGGTGTTCTGGGCCGCATGGTTCTTATAGAACACCTCCTCCTCAACTTCATTCACGGTCAGAACGGACGTCATGAAGTTGTGTGCGTGAGCCCGTAGGAAGTTGAGCAGGTCGCCATGGCTACAGTACTCTGTGATCATCAGCATGGGGCCTGATGGGGGTCAAAGGTTACAGCGTCAGACAGACAGTAAACCTTCTGACTTCCTGTCAGTGGCTCTCAGCTCCAAGATGATTGGTCCATACTGATCACATGAATCTTTGAACACTTCACATGCTCATGTTTTCTTTTTTCTAAATTTCACTCTCACATTAATCAAACAAACAGGATGTAGTTAAGCTGGGGACAATTTCCAGTAGCAGATGAATTTACCTCCCTGAGTGCAGGCTCCCAGCAGGTTGACAATGTTGTCATGGTAACCAAGATGACTGAGGATCTTCAGCTCGGACATCAGAGCTTCACGTTCCTCTGAGAGAGCGCTCGCTGTTCGTTAACAAATCAGATGACATCATCTCATATTAAATAAAAACTATAACAACAATTACAAAAATAATGAATAACTGACGTTTGAGCATCTTGACAGCAACTCTGGTGACATTGTCGTCGGTTCCCAGTCCGTACGCTGTTGCCTCGACGACCTTCCCAAACGCCCCAGAACCCAAAACTGCGCCTGTTACCCAGAGACGTCAAAGGTCAAGGTCTGAATCACGCAGACACACAACACACCCACAGACAGACACACACATTGACATAATACATTTCTTAGCCCCTTACCCTAACCTTAACCATCCAAACCAAACTTAACCTGACCCTTACCATAAAACTAAGTCTTAGTCCTCAAACAGCCCCTTGAAAAAGTGAGGACCAAATGTGAGGAGACAAAATGTCCTCAATCTTTAGGGCTATGCTTAAAATGGTCCTCACAAATATATATGCACAAGAACACACACACACAGTTGCATACCCAGGCGGAGTTTGTCTCGTGGAAACTCCCACTTGTGGTTGTACGGCAGCTGAGTGGGGTCAACGAAGGTATAGCTGTTTCCGTCTGTGCTCTCGATGATCTTCCAACGAATCTCATATTTTGGTTTCTGATAAAAGAAGATTTATGTTCCACCACTTCTTATCCTCTGTTCCCTCCACAGGGTCATATTTTTACCAGACACATGTAAACATGGGGGATCAAACATGTGACATCTGTTTTATTTGATGATCCTGGAGATAAACTGAATTTTCATCATCTCAACAAACGCACCTGTCTCCACTTGTAAGAGACGACCAATAGCAGCAGGAGGAGGACGGCGGCAGAGGTCAGAGCTCCAATCAGAGGCAGAGTGAAGAATGGTGCTGGTTCTCCTAAAGAACCTGAAAACAACAGTTTTATCAACTCTGCATGTCGAGTCACGTTCAAGGTTCTTTAAGAACGAGACTCACGAGGACTGAAGATGTGACGTGACTGCCCCAGCTCATTGGAGGCGACGCACTCAACAGTGACATCATTATCAGCTGGCAGATGGAGGTGTGTCGTCACCGCCTCCTCCTCCTGTGATGTCACCTGAGCTGGAGGCACCTGATAGGTGGAGATGTCTCCACACCTGCAGTGTTATCTTACGTTTTATTCTTTATGAACTGAATTATTTCATCTCTTTTGGTTTGAACAGGAAGTTTGTTGTTACTCAAAGGTTTGTCAGATGTTCACATGTTATTATGTATTAATTTGATGTAATAACAGCTTTACATACCGAATCGATCTCTGTCTAACACACAATTACCCTACAACTTCCCCTGTAGCGCCATCCTCAGGACAAAGTTTATGTTCAGCTGCTGTTCAGACTCTAAGAAATAGAAATAATCTGATTGCGTAGAACAATAGTGTTGGAAGATCTCGTGTTGGTGTTACATACGTGTCCTGGATCCCAGGGCAGGTGTACCAGAGGATTGTGGGTAGAGGATATCCAAAGCTGCTGCAGGCCAGTGTGGTGTTCTGCAGACTCACCTGAGCTGTGGGAGAACCTGGAGGAAGACATTTCATATTAACAGGAAGTCAACATTTATAGATGTGATTATCAGAAGGAAAAACAAAGAGAATGAAGTAAAGTTTCTTACGGTAAATTCTCAGATCCACATTCTGTGACCCACTGAAGAATGAGTTTGAGTAATGAAAGGTGTATCGACCCTGATCTTCCTGACGGATCCGCCGCAGCAGCAGGCTCGCCTTTGACCTGAAGCATGAAAAATACCACCTTAAAAAACTTTAACAATAAAAATACCACCTCAACAAATGAAACACCAACAATACCACCATAACAAACCTTAATACCAAAAATACCACATAAAACAAACTGCAACATGATGCCTCAACACTAGATGTCACTACATTCTACACACTGAACCTTCAAGGTTGAATTTTGTGGTGCAGCAGGTTTCTGCAGTAGAAATCCAAAATCGTGTAATTATTAGCATTTTATCGTGTAATCATTCACATGCTAGTCTTTACTTGTTAACATTCTAACCTGTAGCCGTTAGCAGTGTAGCTCTCCTGGTACAGTGAATCGTTGTTATCGTTGTTGACGTGTGTCGTCCAGTCATGGTTCCTGATTGGAGGATATGCCTCTATCATGAATGTTAACGTAACATCTCGACCTTCATGTACCTCCACTTTGCTGCTGCTGCTAATGTTAGCATTGTTAGCTTTATTTATATGTGTGTCATTTGGGCTAACATTAGCAAACTTTTTCCCATTGACTTCCAGTGAACCACTGCTAATGTTAGCGTCTAGCTTCATTGGCATGTTGCTAACATTGGCAAACAGGTCCCCGTTAACTGCTATGGTCCTGGTGTTAGTGTTAGCATGCTGCGTGGGCTGCAGGTAGATAATCAGGAAGGGCCGCTCTGGTGAGGAAGAAGAGGAGAGAGTAACCACCAGTCTTTCTTTCTTTCATCTTTTCTTTCTCTCCTTGTTATTTCAATGTTTCGTTTGTTTATTTTTGTCTTGGTTTTATCTTCTTACCCAGAACTCTCAGCTGTGTGGTTGCCGTGGCAACTCCAGCTTCATTGACAGCAGTACAGGTGTATGTTCCACTGTGATTCAGTCTGACAGCAGAGAATGTCACCGTGCTGTTGACGGACAGGCGCTGGTTTCTATAGTGACGGCTGACGCTCGTGTTCAGAGACTGGAACAAAGCAAAATATTAATGGACATGAAAACAGTCAACCCACAGGTGATGTCTGACCCGTTACCTCTGACCTGCGACCTCTCAACTGTGACCTCTCACCTGTATGTGTGGGTGTGTCCAGGAGAGGTTGTAGAAGTGGGAGGGGTTACTGCTCAGACAGGTGACCTCAAACTTTTCACCTTCCAGAAGAACTATTTCATCCTGACTGACAGACAGGCATGGTGGATGACGCAGCCCTGCAGACAAACAGGTTGAGAGTCAGGTAGTCAAGTACACAGACAGAAAGACAGACAGGTGGACAGACAGGTAGAGAGACAGGTAGACAGACAGCAGTCACCTAAGACTTCTTAATATACAATGTCTCCTCATCTTCTACCATCAGTAACTCCTCAGTTCATGTGTCTGCTCCTTCATCTCTATCTGACATGTTCTCATGTACAAATACTTTAAACAGGAAGTTACAAACTGTTTCTTCTAATGTTGTAAATCTGTTGTGGTGTTGATGTCTTCAGTTCATCAGCATCTATTGTCCTCGTGTCCTGGAGACGGATCCTCACATGTGACTCTGAGCTTCATTTACTGCTCAGAAAGTGTCTCTGTAGTTTGACTCTTGTTGAGTTAAGAACAGAGGACGTTTCTGCTTGTTGACATCGATGAGACAAACTGAATATGAGACAAATAAACTGTGCGTGATTGATTGATTGATTGACAGGTGGACTCACTCGGCACCACCAGCAGGTCGACAGGTCTCGATCGGACCTGTTTTCTGTCCTTCCAGCCTGAACAGACATAGCGTCCATTGAACGACCTCTGTACGTCTCGGATCAGGGCTCCTCTTCGGGGGTCAAAGGTCACATTCATTCCCTGGGGCAGGCCCTGCCCCCTACCTACTGTGCTGGCCTCTGATTGGAGGGTGAAGTTTGCGATGGGTGGGTCGGTGAGCAGACAACTGATCAAGACGTCCTGGCCTTCTTTGACGGGAGGGATCGAGCGAAGAGTGACGAACACACTGGACAGGTCAGATGGGTCTGACAGAGGGATGATGGGAAACTGGAAGTCATTTATCACCAGTAAAAACTGTCAAGAGCTTGGTCACAATGTTTTTCTATAGTAAACAGGACACAGATCCCCAAACCTCCGAAAATACACTTTTAATTTGGACCCATGTGACATCTGGCAGGGGGTGTGGCCTCAGCAGAATTTACCTCTGACGTACAGGTGGATCCAGGTGTTCAAGTGCTCCAGGCTCAGGCCAGTGTACCCACAGCGATACGTCCCGGTATGTCTCGGGACTGAACTCTTCACCTCCACAACGTCTGAGAGTTTGTCCTGATACAGAAAACGAAATGCAGTGCTGGACCAACGGACGGAGCCATTACCACGGCAAATGAGAGAGAAGGGGGAGCCAGCCGTCAGAACCATCTCAGTCTGATTTTGCATGAAGATGGAGTTCAGACGAATCACTGGAGGATCTGCAAAACAGCAACAGTAAATCTGATGTTGCACAAACAAGAACTGAACATGACAGACGGGTGGTGGAGACAAACAACGGAGCTAAAAGAGACTCTTGAGCTGGGGCTGTTTTTGTCTCTACCAGATGAGTTGTTTGTTGTGTGTGTGTGTGAGCGTGCGTGCGTGTGTGTCAAACATGTAACAATGTAAAGTAACGACCTCATGGTGAAAACGAAGGATGACAATTAAATGCTTGTTCTGCCCCCTAATGGAGGAAAACTGAATAACACAGGAAGTAAAATACAGACACACTACAACTGAACAGATGATGATGTCACAACTTTATTTCATATCATAGGAAATCACTGAAATAACATCTGATTAAAGTGAAATCATCGAGGAAATAAAATCAGGCATTCAGAGAACTGCTCTGATGTCAGTAACTGAATATAACTGTAATAAAACAGGGATTCTACATTCATGTTAAATACATAATCATTGGTTGATTAATTGAGGACAGTTTAACCTTATTGGTTGGTTTTCAACATATGTCACTGTCATTTCAAATAGATCATTTCATTGACTTTCTGCAGAAAATCAGAGGATCTCATTGGACGGCAACGGCAGGTTTTTTGGTGGTGTCGTGCAAGTGGGTGGCAATTCGAGACGTCTGCAGCAGTAAAGCCTGATGGTTTTCAACAAGAAGACTCTGGTGACGAGCTACGTTCTGCAGATCCCGGATCTGCTGAGAACCCTAAGGACACAACAACATCCAGCATTAGCATGCTAATGTGTACCCTGATTAGTTTTGTTAAAGTGAATCTGACTACTGGTTAATAAGATGAACAACCTGTAATTAATCACTTTAGCTGAAGAACCGTTCAAGTTACTCAGATAATCCTGAGTCCTCAGCAAACTTAGATAAACTAAAATAAGCTAAACTAGACTCACCTGAGTTCCCAGCACAGTGAGCAGTTGGACCACCTCACCCTGATGTTTAGCGGCCTCCTTCTGGACCAGGACCAGCTGTGTCAGCAGTTCCAGGACCTTTGATCTCCACATGGCATCAAGCTGTTGATCCTCCAGTCTGGAGGCAGAGCTTGGATCAGTGGGGTTGTCATATGATTGTGCAGGAGGGTGAGCTGCGGCCATCGTCATTGGATTAGGTCCGTTGTCATGGTGATCACCTGGAGTAAAGACGACTGAAGTCAAAACTTCAGTTTTTTGATGACCCGCGAAGGATTCTTGACTTTTGACTTTCAAAATAAAGATCATGTTATGTTTAGATTAAGAGGGGGTCGTGCAGGGGGGTGTATGTTGATTGACAAGTGTCTCAGCCAGTGGCTAAGGCCACTCACTGCTACAGCAACGTTTTAAGTCATTTTAACGACGGACGGACATGTGATGTGGACAGACAATCATCACCAACACGAGCCTCAGACACGAGCATCACCGATATTTTTACCGACATAACGACTCTGGAGGAAAAGAACTTGAGGTAACTCAGACTCATCACAGACAATCAATGATCAATCAATGACTGACTAATACACAGATACATGATCAACAGAGAGAAATAGATCATGTGACAGTTGAAGACGTCATCGTGTTTCACAATCTGAACATTTAAAACAAGAAGTGAAACTGTGTGTGTGTGTGTGTGTGTGTGTGTGTTTGGGTGTTAAAGAGCATAATGTCCCATATGAGGTTTGGCAGGAGAAACACACTGGGCAATGGAAACAGGGTCATCAGTTGAAATTACACAGGGCCGACAAAGACAGGTTGTGTAGATGTTTGATACAGGTTGTGTTGATGTTACACACAGGTTAGGTAGATCCGTTGTTGAGTTTTGTTTGGGGGAAACTCCTGCAGTTGGGAGGGATTGGGGCTCTGATGAAACCTCAGAGTCAGGAAACACATTTTCTACCAGAGACCACATGTACACACATTCACACACTCTCTCTCACACACACACACACACACACACACACACACACACACACTGGGATACTGTGTTCTCCCACTTCCTTGTCTTACTTCTTCTTTGTTGAGGAGGTGGTGGAGGAACCGGTTACTTTTGCAACATGTGTACATCGAGAAGTGGTTTAAATAACTTGTTCATAATAAAGTGATTATTTAGTAAAAA